TTAATCAGTTTTCCCCCACGGGACGAGATCACCCTTCATGAGGTGAACAATTCTATCAGTTATATTGGTCGGACGAGAGATGGGTCTCCTACAATGTACAATAGACTGATCTATTGTAAAATTGTTTTATACTATTACAATGTCTATAAAGGACATTAAATAGACAGTATAATGTGTAGAGTAATCACATGGGGTCCATTTAGCTCTGTTTGAGTTTTGAGGTGTAAATATAGTACCTAATATAAATGTTTTACCTATTTAAATCCACATAAATTCGACATCAACACCAGTCATTTATTTAGACAACTGTGGTTTTTAGTTACAATGTACATACACTCTACCTTCGGCGCGAATAAAACAGCAAAGATAAAGCAAGGATGTGCATTGTAGTGTCCCTGGATCATACCACATATTAACCAGGTGCAATTTACGCTAACTTATTAACAAAAATCAATAAACGAATTTAAAAAACCTCTTGGAATACGTATACAAATTAACATCATGTACAGAGACGTTAAATATGTCTATAAAAACTAATATGAATGACATCCATATTTAGTGTCCCTAGAGTATATCACAAATCGACCGAATGCAATTTATGCTAACTAATGTAAATTCAATAAACGAATTTAAAAAGCCTGTTGGAACACGCATACAAATTAACATCATGCGCAGAAAAGAATGAATATAATGTGATAAATACCACAGATTATAAACAAGCTTTACAAGCCTATCAAAAACCTCAAGAGTGTATCGAAATTCAGCAGACCGTAACGAACTTAGCACGTCCGAATTCTTAAAAAGCGATAAGGAATACAGGGACAAAAAGAACACGGTTTTCAGGAGCTTCGAAAATCACACTTGGCATCGTTTTGAGGACGTATTGAAATCCTGCTTTCGTTACGGTGTGCTGTAAAGGATTAAACATAATTCATGGGTAATGTAAACACATAATGAAAAAGTCATTTTGTAATACAATATTTGGTTTCCTAAATAAGATATCACACTTGTGTGATGTATACTGTGCGTGTGTACGTGCGTGCTTGCGGGCGTAAGTTTTCAATTTAGTATCTAGGAGCTGTTTTTACAAGACTTTATTTGTGTTTAGTTTAATCCAGTATTTCAATCTATTCCAAATACCTTGAGTTTCATTGCATTCCGTCCACATTTGTCCTAAATCTTCTACAAAATTTTTGCAAAGGCTACATTTGTCTTTATCTGCTTTACTAATTTTTTAAAATATCTATTAACTGGTAGAATTTGATTCTGAATTTTATACTAGAACCACTACAGTTTTGCATCTTTTGTAGTCTTAAATGGTAAAATATATATTGTATTCCAGTTCAGATTTAGGAAGATATGATTAGTTTTCCATTTAATTTCTGACGTATTGGTATTTTCCTCAGTTAAAACATTATAAAAAAACCCACTGCCTTTTTTACTCTTAAATAAAATGTTAGTGTGGAAAGGTAAAGAAGGCCTAATAACAGTATTATTAATAAAGTACAAGTTACATGTCTTATTTATAGCTTTAATGGATGAACAGAGACCCTGATGACGTAAAATGTTGTTAGATATCACAGTAAATGTTTTTTTAATTCATCGAAACTGAGAAATTCACCATCACGATTGATTATATCTGCTACTTTGTCTATACCCTTTTAATGCCAGTCTTCATAATAAATATATTGATTGTCTATTTCAAAATTAGAATTGTACCATAACGGGGAGGTAAGTAAGTCTGTTGTAACTTATTCTATTCCGTTTTCATGTTTATGTTATAAGACTTCTTTCTAGAAAACATTACTGATATTTAAGTTCTCAAGAATCCTTCGCCAAATTCTGACAAACACTGCATTGGGCGAATATCATTCTTAAAAAATATTGTAGACAAACAATGTTGAAATCGCCATAATTGGTTTGTATGAAATTTAGTACATCAAGTCTTTTCTCCATTGACCCCAAGTTCTGATAGTTTGCAGACATATTTTTATGCCTTTAGGCATATTCTAAACCGGCTAAATAACAGCTAGCCAAATCTGTGGTTAGAGTAAACATTATTTTCTAGCCCATAATCTGTTGATGGTGGGCTATTCGTCATCCGGATTTTGGGTCTGATCAGAAAAACAAAATGACTGACAGACTGCCATCGTGGATTTTGACTTTGCAAGTTTGTTATCGCTATTTCTGGATAACTATTGCATAGATCTTTCTCAAATTTCATGTATATGTTCCTCATGGTCGCTAGTTGTGCCTGTGTGAGTTTTAGACTGATCAGAAAAACGCAATGGCCAACAGGCAGCAATCTTGGATTTCGCTGAGTAAAAATTGTTATCCCTATTTCTTAAAATGTACAGCATGGATATTTCTCAGATTTCATACAACATGTTTCTGCATACATCTTTGTCCTTCAATGAATAGCAAAAATGATATTTTTAAAAAGGCATTAGTTTTTTATGATATTTCATAAAATGTCTAAATGAAGCTTTAGTCAATACAAGTATCTTGCACAAACTATGCCTAGTTCTATGAGGTTGGCAAATTGATATCCATGTACCTTAAGAAATATAAAAATATAATTGTAAAGGGGTTATCTTTTTCAAATATGTACAAAAATATAGAATCTATATACAAGGAACTTTAGTGTAGAGGTACAGCATCAGTTTCTAGTTACTTTGGTGTAGAGGTTTAATATCAGTTTCTGGTTACTTTGGTGTAGAGGTACAACATCAGTTTCTGGTTACTTTGGTGTAGAGGTACATCATCAGTTTCTGGTTACTTTGGTGTAGAGGTACAGCATCAGTTTCTGGTTACTTTGGTGTAGAGGTACATCATCAGTTTCTGGTTACTTTGGTGTAGAGGTACATCATCAGTTTCTGGTTACTTTGGTGTAGAGGTACATCATCGGTTTCTGGTTACTTTGGTGTAGAGGTACATCATCGGTTTCTGGTTACTTTGGTGTAGAGGTACAGCATCAGTTTCTAGTTGCTTTGGTGTAGAGGTACATCATCAGTTTCTAGTTACTTTGGTGTAGAGGTACATCATCAGTTTCTAGTTACTTTGGTGTAGAGGTACATCATCAGTTTCTGGTTACTTTGGTGTAGAGGTACATCATCAGTTTCTGGTTACTTTGGTGTAGAGGTACATCATCAGTTTCTGGTTACTTTGGTGTAGAGGTACATCATCAGTTTCTGGTTACTTTGGTGTAGAGGTACAGCATCAGTTTCTTTCTGGTTACTTTGGTGTAGAGGTCATCACATCATCGGTTTCTGGTTACTTTGGTGTAGAGGTACAGCATCAGTTTCTGGTTACTTTGGTGTAGAGGTACAATATCAGTTTCTGGTTACTTTGGTGTAGAGGTACAGCATCAGTTTCTGGTTACTTTGGTGTAGAAGGACATCATCAGTTTCTGGTTACTTTGGTAAGAGGTTTAACATCAGTTTTTGGTTACTTTGGTGTAGAGGTACAATTTCTGGTTACTTTGGTGTAGAGATACAGCATCGGTTTCTGGTTACTTTGGTGTAGAGGTACAGCATCGGTTTCTGGTAACTTTGGTGTAGAGGTACAGCATCGGTTTCTGGTTACTTTGGTGTAGAGATACAGCATCGGTTTCTGGTTACTTTGGTGTAGATGTACGGCATCAGTTTCTGGTTACATAGCCTACATATCTGAGACTGACAAATTGATATTTGCAACATATCTATGATTAGATGATTGGATATGAAAAACTGCTGATAAATGCTTTTAAGTTACTTTCAATTTTATTTTGATGGATTTTCACTACATATGTTTAAGAACATACTCTATATTTCAGATAATTAGAAAACACAATGATGATTTGTTTTACGTGTATGTACATTTACACTTATACGCCATGAACAACTATTACTGCGCACGGCAGCGCCAATCTTCATTTCCATATCCACAAAAATCATATTAATTATCTCATAATTTTAATGTTATCCCTATTTCAAATTCAGGATTGTCCAGAACAGCTGAGGCGTAACTATACATTTTTAGGGAAGATATAGGGGAAAACGTAATGGGCCAGGTGTATTGACTAGAATCAATATTAATGGGATTGCGATTGGAAGATACAAGTCATTTCTCAATGAGAATATTAGGATGGCCCGTAAATCTTCCCTATAGTTTTTATCAGTCTTGATCTCTCGAAAGTATGTGTTGTAAGGTGGTCGATATCATGCGCAAAAATCGAGATATTGGAACAGGTATTAAATATTGAATCAATTGCGACATATAAAAACCATATATTGTGTTTTGTTTACAGTTTTTTCTATAACGATGATTCATGCATATATACTATCATAATTATAGCGAGGTATCCAAACATCGGAAAATGAAACTTAAAATCACTCTCTATAGAATTATGAAATATAATATAAGTATAAAACCGAACATATACGTTATTTTTCCCATGTGACATGTCTTTTTTCTCTCTCATTTCTGTAGGCGTTCAGGGATCTAGACGTTCCTTGAGGAGGCATGCAGATGGAAGGCACAAGGCTGATTAATTATCGATTGAAGTTTCTCTCCTGAAAGGCAAGATATGTCCGGTGTTACACGGCTGTACCCCGTTTCAAAAGCACGTGGAAGTTCAAAGCACCGTTAAAGAATACTCCGTGACTTAATGAGTGATCCATGTTACCTCACATGGAAGTTTCATAGTGCATGCACACATAGCAATGACTTTTCATTAACATGTTAATGCACAAGGTCATCTTAGTTACGTAGTGACTGTCTTTGTTAATCATCGTGACAAATGCACCTCTGGAACGACCCTGGTATAATGAATTGGATTCACTGATCCGCAAGGTTTACAGTGTCGCTGTGAAGTAGTGGATACATAACCAGAATTTGATATCACAACAAAAGCGTTTTCCTTGAGTTCATGAATATCTTCGAACCTTGTCTAAGTGTATATTGATACATATTGATTTACCATAGAGCATAATACGAGGTTGTATGAAACAAATGTCACCATGGTATTATTGTGTTTGAGACGTCGAAGTAAAGCCAAATACATCTTCATGTTGGTAACTACCCTTTTTCTTTTTCATATAACGGAGAAGCTGTATAAGCATAATGATGTACAGCCGAAAAATTCTGAACCGTCCGAATATGTTAGAACACTGTATATAAGACATGACGTTAAAACAACATCGGCAACAACGTTACCTCCAACATATAAAGTCCTTCCCTTTAGAGAATTTCGGTATCCTCTGGACATCAACTTTACAGAACTTATTAACAATATCAGCTCGAAAGGTTACACTGATATTGCTCCAATTAATGTGTATCCGTTTACATTTGCAGAACCTACGGAACGTATCTGTGGGTCGGTAGATCAGATATTCCTATTGCTCATGATCAAATCCGCACCAGGGAATTTCGATCAGAGACAAGCTGTCCGGGAAACCTGGGCGAATAAATCGCATTTTGAAAATTATAATATCCGACACACCTTTTTACTTGCTAGGACAATGAATAAGAGCATACAAGAACGTCTGTCACTGGAGAAGAAGATGAATCACGATATATTGGAATTCAGTTACATTGATGGCTATTATAACAACACATTTAAATCTACGGGGGGCATCAATTGGTGCGTTAAACATTGTCCTCAAACTAAATTTGTAATGTTGTTGGATGATGACATGTACCTTGCGACTGACTTCCTATTAGACTATTTGCATGGGTTACCACAGGATCTATCCCACTCTCTCTTTGCCGGTCGCATGTGGCATGATGCTCCTCAGAGAGGTCCAGAGCAGAAATGGTATATGTCTTTTAAAGATTACCCATTCGACAGGTATCCGCCATTTCTCAGTGCCGGAGCTACTATCATGTCCATGGATATAGTTAAGAAACTTCAGATCGGAATTCAGTACACAAAGAAATTTAAGTTTGATGATGTGTTTTTAGCAATTGTTGCTTATAAACTCGGTATAAAGCCCGTGCACCACCCAGGTATAAGAATACTGAAGCGTGTCCCGCACAAAGACAAGTCGTTCCAAACGATTTTAGCCTCCCACGAGTATGGAAATCCAAAGGATTTAAAGGCAGCTTGGCTTACACATTTACAACTTAACAAAACTGATGGTATGTTGAAGCCATGAGGTTTTTGTCTGTACGAGATAAACAGTCAATGATAGATCTAACATGAGGCGAGGAGACTCCTCTGCAGATAATAACCTACCATTTTTCAAGTTTTTTTTGTAAAGATGATATGTATGTGTGCTGACGTGGGTGCGTTTGGAGTGGTATATGCCGTCATTATTGGTATAAAATGAGTCTATATTATCAACATGATGATGATGATGATGATGATGATGATGATGGAAAGTGTGAAGGTGTAAATGTATGTAGATGAAGTTATTTCTAATACATTAAGTGTAACTGGGTCATAAATTATTAAGTTTGCCTTTGTCCAGTTGACATTCATAAGCCCATGAAATCCGTTATATGTACATTAATTCAATTCTATACTTGTAGCTTTTACATTTTCTATATCTTAAATGATGTTTGAACTCTTTATATTCTGCATAATTTCCAGCATATCAATTAGTTAAACATGTTTGTGTCATTTGTATTCTCAGATCCTAAGTACATTTATTTCTATTGCAATGCACGTCCGTCATAGCAAAGGAATTCTGTCCTTAAACCAACACAGGTGATGGCAGAAATGCATTTAAACGACGGAATGTCAGTGAAAAAAACAAATTTTATGAAGTAACTGATCGTCAACTTCCTCATTACTCAAACTCAAATTCTATACATCTGAACTAAAGAAAGATTTAGAATAAGATATCTTAATGTATCATGCTACCATGCAAGTAATAGTGTTGTGAGGACTTTTTAGGGTTCATTCTTACTTAGCCAACATTCTGAAATTTACCGGCCAACATGTCAAATTTTACACCTCAGCGATTTTCAGCTATAGTCTGTTCCTACTTTCCTTGACAGAAAATATAAAAAAAAATGACTAGTTGAATATGAATTATAAAATAAAGATTTAAATCAATTTATGTAGGAATCATATTTCTGTCTTAAATGTTTGCTACAATTACTGAATATATATGTACTAAAATCTACGTGCATTATAATCTGAAGGATTTAAATTGTGATTTGTAAGAAATGGATTGGGTGATGAGGTGCATTTTTCTACATATCATGTATCCCTCCATGCATATTTATCTCGCGACCCTCATCGGTGCCGATAATTTGTACCCCATATTTTTGTTGTACATATAGACTGAAGTTAATGACATTCAGATCTATATATTATATAACAACAGTGATTGATATTATGAGTGTATTTGAAATGTTCCTGTCATTTATTAAATGACCATTTGACAACATTTCTTTTCTCTGTTGTCTTTTGTTTATAAGATATGTACAACAAATAACAAGCTGCAGTCTCTGAGCTGGGTTACCATGCTAACACAAATGTATCTTCACGTGTTTTACTCAATTTGTTTTTTCAAAATGACAGATTTAGAACTTAAAACACAATAAAAATCTATTCCGTGCTACCAGTAATTCTAAAATATATAATATCCTATTAGTTGTTGCTGTGTTTTCTGTTAATCACTTACATGATTGATATAATTGTTAAATATAATTAGATATTGTTTTCGGATGGGGGATGATTTTGCGTCACTTTTGCTTTACCGTATTTATGCTTAAGTTTTGCAGAAATCATTGTGGCAGATTATGAGCCCCATCTAAGACTTGTTTGGTAAATTTTAAATGATAAACTTTGAACTAAATAACAAATGTCGTTTACTATACTAAACGGCCAGATTCAATTCACATCTTGTGTTCTAGTTGTTATTTCTATGACTGTCATACTAGCTTGCCATGGTGGAGGTTCGGTATAAATATAATTAGATAGAGGTTTTTAATGGTTTAGTCTCCGAACGACTACACCAGTAATTAACACCCAATTATCTAAAGGTGTTAAGGGGCCCTCAGAAGAGATAACTAGTTATTACCTGTGTTACCTAGCTGTTAGCTGCCCTAAATATTAACATGAAATTGAGGGGAAAATTTAGGGAAACAGTAGGACTGATTTATTGAACATTTATAATTATTTTATAAAATTAAATAAACCACGGACTTATATACACATATATATATGTGTGTGTATATAAGTCCGTGAATAAACATGATGATAGTCATTAATAAACAATTTTCCAAAACTGGGTTATCATATGAAATTTATTAATTCAATTCGCATATATAGATATATATTGTTGGTATATAATAATAAGTAATGGTTATATAGAAATATATAAAAATCAATCAATATCATTTTCATATATCATAATAGATCTCATGATATATTTCTGTAATTATTGATGATAACGTATCATAACAATTTGGTAAATTGTACATTTATTGGGCTTATTAATTCAATTTGCATATATATATATATATATATTGTTGATATATAATCATAAGTAATGGTTATATAAATATATAAAAAAAAATCAATATCATTTTCATATATTATAATAGATCTCATGATGTGTTTTTATAATTATTGATTTATTGTTTTTTTTATGAACACAGCTCACACCAGATGTTGATATCACTTAAATGTAGACTCACACAAGCTAATCACATGTACTGTATAAGGTAAAAGTGTGAAACTGTGAAATATTCCAATATATAGTTTATGCACCTGAATTATCTTGTGTTATTTTGTAATGAGACTTGTTGGTACAGGTAAGATTATTACAGGTAAACTTTAAGCCAACTCCCCACTGAGAGCCCCTCAACACCTCAGGTGTCAGTTACAAGAGTAGTCGTTCGGGTAACACACCGATTAGAGTTACAACTAGATTACTACCTTTGGGAGCTTTGTTCAAGCACGGACTTATATACACTGGGATTTTATTTTATTTTATTTTTAGGAGATTAGCGTCCTCTATTATGGCCTTTCGGCCTTTCAGAGGACGAGAAAAGATAGGAGTGAGTAGAAAGGGTACAGTATGTAGAAGACAGGAAGGGAAAGGGAGGTAGAGAGGGGGGAGTCGCCTGTACCTAACTCTTAACTTAGCGTCACGTAACTATAAATTTGGAAGGCGACTTGGGGGGCCTAAAAAGTCATTAATCGTAGGTGCGACCTATGGTCTGCTTCCGGTGGTCCGGTTATCTTCGCTGCGCGTTACGTCTGGATTTGGAGAGGAGGTGGGGATGATAAGGGAATTATTTGGGGGATCCTTTTATGGCCTATGTTATTAATCCAAATATTGTGTCACCTCTAGATAGGGGTGATTGACTTAATGAGCCAATCCAGAGGGTCTTACGACTGCCCGGAGGCGCTGGCCCTGGGGATTTATTTAGATAAAAAATGTTTGAGGAACCTGTTTAATTGAGGTGCACTTATAATTTTTAATTCTGATGCTATCCTATTTAGTTTTAGGGTCTTAATTAAATCATCAAGGTTATATAGTAGTTTCTAGCCTATACTGGTACCTGTGCTAGCCTTGATGATATGTTACTGAAAAAGTTGTGCATAGCGCACTAAATCTGGTGAATTCCTATTCTACACGCGTTGATTCCGCGGGAATCAAAAAATAAAAATATAATTTGGAAGGTCTGTCCAAAAATGACATTATCCCTAACTTAATCTTACCTACTAGTCTATCTAGAGCCCCTGGACCGGCTTGCAATAAGCCTTCTCTTTTACGAAAAGTTCAGGGGGATCTTTAGCGTGCAAAGGTGACCCCTCCTTCACACGGGACCCGAGATTTTTAAGTCCCATCCGACGGACTGTATATTAGTGTTAGTAATAAGTGCAGGTGCAATTTATTTTTGTTGTCCAATCATATCTCTTGACTTGTGCTTCCTCCTTCCGATGCTCTTTCAATTCTACACAAATGTCCTCGTTCACAATATACCACTCCAAGCCATCAACTATTGTTCCACTCGACATTTTTAATTTTTATAGTGAAAGTGCTTGTTATGGTTATAATAGGGGCGGTCAGGGGGTCCTAGAGTAAATGTGCTGGGGTTTACCTATATTGGGCGAGTTGTCTTCCATTCGTTCTTTTTTATGTTCTTTATGTATCTAGAGAGATGATGGGTGGGATGGGAGCGGGGCTAGTCTTTTATTTTTATACTGAATTTTGTTCTTAATTCATAAAATATCCAATCCATTATTATAGCTTAACTAATTTGTATAATAGGGTCATTATTTGTTTTGTTTTTATTTGTTTTATTTAATTATGGTAACAGTGTTTTTTTTTTTTTTTTTTTTTATTGAGTGAGTAGTTATGCGTGGGGGCTTGGGTGTGTTTTTTAGATGTCTTGAATACACACGCAAACCTTTCCCTTACTATTCCTAATCCTGGTCCTCCGGGGTGTGTGTGTGTGGGGGGGGGATTTGTGGTGTTATAAATTAACCTGAGTAGTATGTGTTTTATTAATTTATTTAGATGTAATTCAATAGCACCGCCGGAACCGGAAGAACTACAGGAGCCACGTCGGGTGGCCGGACTCCCCGCCTGAGACCAGAACAAAGACGTTGTAGTACTCCCTTTTCCAGTGGGTACTATATTATTTAAATCACATAGATTTAAAAAGTGTATTATTACTGTTAAATATAAAGTCCGTATTTTCCTTTTTGTGATTCTAGTTATAAAATTCTGTATTATCTGTATTTAAGTAATTGTGCTTATGTGTGTATAGTTTCTACCGGAACCGGAGTTATCACAGGAGCCACGTCGGGTGGCCGGACTCCCCGCCTGAGACCAGAACAAAGACGTTGTGATACCCCTGATTTCGGGTGTCAGTTGAGGCTGTTATTAATTAAATTAATCCTATATTATATCGAGTAGGGGTTTGGACTGTGTTAAATAAGTTGGTCCGGCTATATTACCATCAAGCGTGGCCGACTTATTCCTTAGGCCCTGCCTAACAGGTATGGGTTCCGAAACACCAAGGACACCCCTTCAACACATATCAACCCTGCGGGGTTATATCGTGAGGGAAGGGAACCAATACTTATGATATATTCTAACAGTCCTTCCCTAAACGAAAAAGGTCCTAACTTGTACTTTCTTATTACATGTTATTATTGCCTTATGTGGGGCGGAGAGCAGGGGGA